ATTGGTGGAGGAAGACAGCTTCTCTAGGAAGGGATTTTTAGATATAAAATTCAGAACATCTTTTAACTCCCTCAGGGTGTGGGGATAGGAACTGGGGAATGGGGCAGCTTTTTATTATAGCAAGATTTTTCACCCTTGGCACGAATGCTATCTTGAGCCAGATGAGGCTTCGTTGTGGTGGGCTCTCTTGTGTATTGCAGGATCATTAGAAACATCTCTAGCTTCTACTTACTAGATGCCAGTAGCATATACCTTTCAACATTACTAAATGTCCCCAGAGGCAAAATCACCCCTGGTTAGGAACCACTATATGAGAGTATGGTTCGTGAATCCAGAGATGAGTAGAGTTGAGAAATATCCTTTATAATATTCACAATTATGGAGCTAAAACATAGTGGTATGATTTATTTACTATACAGTAAAATTGGCATTTCCTGTTTCATAAAGATAAACATTTGAAAGCTCTCCCCACCTCTTCCCTCCCCCTCTCCCAAATGTAGGAACCTCTCTATTTTTGGAACTTTGGTATACTGTATGGGAGGAATGAACCAAAGAGCTGCAGATACTGCCAAAGTTCTGGCTGGATGGTTAATGTGTCTTGTCTTTCGGGGTTAGCCTCAGAAGTCTTGAGTGTTAGGATTGGCCAGGGCACCTGCAACAGTGTTGAAATCTGTAATACTTATTTCAACACTTGGTGCATTGTCAGCCTTTTTGTGTTAAAACCATGTCACAGGTCCACAGAGTAAGTAGCTCTTCAATTGGGACTGAGAAAAACAGCCTTATTTGGCCATGTGGCAAGGGCTTTACTGCTTCAAGCTCAAGGAGCAATGTCCCTTAATTCTTACAAATGAAGCACAGAGTCTCTTAGGAGATCCATTTACACACTACTGGGAGTGGGTTGGGTACTGGCCTGATTGTTCTTCCTGGTCATGAGAGCTGTCTGCTATTCTGGGGGTTGGGTGCTGACTGATTTCTTTTTTTAAGATTTTATTTATTTGTGAGAGAGACAATGAGAGACAGAGAGCATGAGAGGGAGGAGGGTCAGAGGGAGAAGCAGACTCCCTGCTGAGCAGGGAGCCTGATGTGGGACTCGATCCCAGGACTCCAGGATCATGACCTGAGCCGAAGGCAGTCGCTTCACCAACTAAGCCACCCAGGTGCCCTGATTTCTTTTTTCATTTGGCCAAAATCCTATTAGTTCTAAGGGAGATATTCTCCTTTGCTTTACCTGTTCTCCTTAGTAGGAGGGAGGGCATAGATGGGAGGTCATAATTTACCTTCAGGCATTATTGTGAAAAGCATCTTGGGTAGGAAGGTTAAAATGAAATAACCCTGGGTTTATTGCTTAGAATAGCTCTCCACATTTTTGCATTGCCATAAGTGATCCCATAGTTAAGTGCATGTGAAATTAAGAGTCAAGTGTAAGGAAGTGTGGCTGGGAGGATTACTCCTACTTTTGTAGTACTGGTAATGGTTTTGGGGTGTTTGTGTGTGTGTGTGTGTGTGTGTGTGGTTTTGTTGTTGTTGTTTAAGATTTTATTATTTGAGAGCCAGAAAGGGGGAGTGAGGAGGCAGAGGGAGAGAGAGCATCTCAAGCAGACTCTGCTCTAAGTGCCACTCAGGGCTCCATCCCACAATGCTGAGATCATGACCTGAGCCAAAATCAAGAGTCAGATGGTTAACTGACTGAGCCACCCAGGCGCCCCCAGTAATGGTTTTAAGTTATATTTATATTTTGATCTTTTGGGTCTGGTTATCTTTTTATCCTCCCAGGCCCTGGAGGTGGGTACTAAAATTTTTACTAATGATGAAACTGAGGCTCAGCAATGTTAAGTAACTTGTCCAGGGTCACACAGCTAATGGTAGTAGAGCTGGGATTTGAACGTAGAGCCCACTATGTTGTGCTATTTTCACTGTACAGCACAAAGAGTATTTTATATTTCTAGGAAGCTTCTTGTCAATGAAGTGATTGTGGTTCTGATGACCCTTCAGTAGAGGCTAGTGGGGAAACAGACCTCAGGCACTAGATAACTTCCCATTCCTTTTACTTAACTGATTTCTGTGAGCCATCCATTTATTCTTATTAGTATGTAATTTATGAGACCGGAAATGCTGTGCTTTCCCAGAGTAGCAGAGAGGAGAAGGTCACTAGTTTCCTCACAGATTCAAATAGAAAATGGAAGGGTGCCTGGGTGGCTCAGTTGGTTAAGCGACTGCCTTCGGCTCAGGTCATGATCCTGGAGTCCCGGGATCGAGTCCCGCAACGGGCTCCCTGCTCGGCGGGGGGTCTGCTTCTCCCCTGACCCTCTTCCCTCTTGTGCTGTCTCTCATTCTCTCTCTCAAATGAATAAAATCTTTAAAAAAAACCCCAAAAAAAACAAATAGAAAATGGAAAAATGAACTGTGGCCTGTCATTGAGTGGAAGGATATAGTTTGGTGCACATAGGAGAGAAGGTGTATATGTCACACACATGGGAGGTGTGGCTGTGCATAAAACGGGAAGGGAAGAGGTGGGGATCAGATGAGATTGGCTCTCCAGGAATAGCATTTCTAGGACTTCCGAAATGAATTATTGCATGTCCTCTTTACTCTGTGATGTAAGCTTTGGAAGGAACCTAACCTAGAGGATTAGGGAATGAACTTTCCCCCTGATGTCTTTCATTTCAGAAGCTTATTATTCCAAGATGCTTATTTTTCGGACCCCTTATTACTGAGGAGTGGCCCTTGTAGGATAGGAAAATCCTCCGAGATCCTGAGGTCTTTCTCTGTAGAAATCCAGTTTCTTTGATGCTCAGCAGGTTTAGCTCTGCTGCTTATTTTAGAGTGAAGATGGGAAATCACTCGATCCTAAAAACTTCTTCCCCTTATGTCAACAAAATATGAATTGCTTTTATTGTTTTTTTTTAATTTCAGTTAAAATTGATAAAGGTAAAGACAGGCTATTTAGCCTAGAAAATCTTATAGCTATCATGTCATAAATACAGAGTTTTATATTTCTTTTTTTTTTTTAAAGATTTTATTTATTTGACAGAGAGAGAGAACACAAGCAGAGGGAGCGGGAGCGGGAGAGGGAGAAGCAGGCTTCCCTCAGAGCAGGGAGCCTGGTGCAGGGCAAGATCCCAGGATTCTGGGATCATGCCCTGAGCCGAAGGCAGACGCTTAACGACTGAGCCACCCAGGCGCCCCAGAGTTTATATTTCATGTTCGGAACACCTAATGTGTCTAGTTTGCATCATCTAGCATATTTAGGAACATGATTCTTACAAATCTTAGGTAGTGGTCATACATGTTCTTAATCTATTTATTTATTTATTTATTTATTTTTAAAGATTATT